GGGATGACCTCTGACCTGTGACTTCTGTGCTGGGTTCTTGTAATGATGCTGATAATGAGGCCTTGTTGACATTTGAGTGACGTTTCACTTCGGAGGAGAATCTAAAAAGCTTAAAGTGCAGCGGCCGGCTCAGCTGATACGCCGACGATGACGCGCTCTCTCTTTGTAAAGGACTCGATATCGAAAAGACCTTTGTCATTTCTGCAAAAAATGCAAACAGAAACATTTTCTGTTGTATTTTAAAAATGCTTTTTTTATTGTGCAACACAGTTTTGCAGTGAATGATACATGAAATGAGAATTGTTTAACATCTATATCACTTCTGAACTGTAAACATTCCAATAAATGGGTTGTTAACTGTGTCTGTGTGTGCAGCCGTAGTAGAACGTGTATTTAAGTACTGTCCTTAAGTACAATGTTGAGGTACTTTTACCTGAGGTTTCAATCCTATGCTACTTTATAGCTTCACTCTTTTGCATTTCAGAGGAAATATTGCACTGATAAAGATTTTACACATAAAATATATAATCAGTTATAATAAATGATGATAGATTGTTATAAACTACATGAAGTAGCTAAAACAGCTGCACCAGTTTTGATCTAATAATAGAAAGTATGTTAATACAACACAATCTTTCTGGAGACCTTTTACTTTTAATACTTTAAGTACATTTAGCTAATAATACTTTTTGAATGAAGGACTTGTAGTAGTAATGGAGTACTTTTTAATTTAAGGTGAAGGATGTGAATACTTCTGTCACCACTGGTGTGCAGTATAAACTCAGTAAAATAAGACAATGATCACTTTCTGGTTCAACCTCCTCTCTGCTCCGAAACCTGACAGCGCCGCCTCCGTCATCGACCAATAAAGACTCTGGTGCAGTCTGGGAAACTATGTGTGTGTGTGTGTGTGTGTGTGTGTGTGTGTGTGTGTGTGTGTGTGGAGGGGTCTTTGAACTGAGGCAGTGACTCAGAGAGTCGAGGTAATCCCTCGTTCAGCAGGCTGAGAAAACAAACACACTAATCTGAGACATTTGGGATTGGCTGGTTTCTCTGTGTGAGAAAGTGAGTGTTTCTGAACGTGCCTCGGTATGTGTGTACACTGTGTGTACACTGGACTGATACAGTTGTACTATGTCATGTTTAGTCAGATAAGATCAGACTTTATTGATCCTCAGGTGGGTAATTCATCAGAAAAGACTAAAGAACCTCAAAATTACATAAATATACCTGAATTTAAATTTAATATTTGTGCAAAACAGTAGGTTGAAATGTTGGTCAGTGCAACTCAGAAAACCTTATTGAAGTAGTGTATTTGTATGTACAATATATTAGTATAAGTCTGAGTAGTATAAACAGAAAAGACAAGACAGGAGTCACACAAAATGTGACATCATACATAAAATTGGAAATAAAACACTTAAAAAAGATTGAATCCTAGAAGAGTTCTCCACAAACCGTCAGTGAGAATAAATAAACTCACCTGAAACAATCAAATGATTGAAAACCACAGAACAGAGAATGTTACGTATCGTCTGAGAGAAACATTTGATGGGAGTTGGAACAGACATAAAAGTGACAGAAGAGATTCATGAAACAGGCAGAATGACGTCAGTGATGACGTGTAATATTTCAGTGGTGTAAAGTCGTTCGTTACACTGAACACAAACATGACATCGCTGCAAAAGAAGAAGTGTGATGACAGACTGACATCATCACTTAGAAAACATATATTCTCAATTAAGTATTTTTCATATTCTCAAAGACTACATTTACTATATTAATACTCATTTTCCACCTTTATTCCTAATATGACAATATTCTGAATTTGATATGGTTCATATGGTTAAACATCATATTTCATTATTGTGAATGAATGATCTTCAGAGTAAAACCTGTGTTTTGATATTGTTCAATTTCTAGGATCATTCTTTGGACATATATATATATATATATATATATATATATATATATATATATATAACCATAACCCTACTTAGCCAAGGGACAATTACCCTCATTTTATTGAAGTAACCAGCTGTATCTTGTTAAAGGCAGTAAACAGAATGATTGATTCTTCTGTAGGATTGTGATGCAGATAAACAAATACATCTTCAATCTTTGAGAGTTTAGTCGTTGATGGTTTTAAACGTACATCAGCTGATGTCATCGATCCTCACCACCTCCTGCTGATAAATTACTAATATACAGTATATATTAGTATTTTATATAAATATAATATTAATAATGTAAGAGCCATAAACAGACGAGCTAACCGACATGGTGGAGGGCGGAGGTGAAATGGATTCTGTCACTGTGTCAGAGTGAGTCCTGAGGTGACTAAAGGTTAAACTGTTTGAGAGAAGGAGACGTAACGTCACCTCAGAGCGGAGTGACAGGTTGATGGTTCTATAAATGTGTGAGTGTGTGTGTGTGTGTGTGCTGTTTACATGTGTTGTGATTCACAGCTGTGTGAAAAAATGGCAGATCAATTAGGGCGCATACTCACTGAAGGTGTGTACAGGTGTGTGTGTGTGTGTGTGTGTGTGTGTGTGTGTGTGTGAAACTGAATAAATAGGTCACCTCAGGTGTGTTTTCTCTCCGTCCACCTGAGCCAACATGTCAGCATACCTACCGAGCACGCTGCCACAAGACATTTACTTGCCCTAATTATTATATTACAAAGACTACTATTGATGGTGTTCCAAGATGATGGACATCGATAAACCCATTCACGTACCAGAAATGTTTTTCCATCCTGGTTTGTTTCCTGGTTTGAGTGTGAATGTATCTTCCCCATCGAGCACCTGCCATGATAAACTAAAAATAACTTCTCTCACCTCCGGGGAAGTTGTACAAACATTATGGCTCAAAAATTCCCCAAAACAATTATCATTGCTTTTACTGAGAGGTAAAGAAACAAATAAAGAAATCACGTTTACTAATCTGTTGCAATTTAGAAATAACTATCGTGGATTATGTGATTTTTTTAACAATGTTTTGTTGACAAAATGATGAGGAAACATTGACAATCGAGCTAAATGCTAAATTTAACTGTGTGCAATGTGTGACAATAAAAGTTGATTGACATTTGTAAAATGTTCACTGACAACATATTTAATTTGTTTTATTTATTATAAATAATTAATCTAGCGATCTTTAAAAATGTAATTATATCAGACTTTGTTTACTTCTGGCATTTTCACAGCGGTTCTGTGTATTTGTATGTGATCACCTCTCTAAGTATTCGTTGCACTAGACTTTTCCCAGGTACCATTGAAAAGGGCGACGCCCACAGACTGTGGTTATCTGTTATGTTTCAGGAATGATTGAAGGTTTTATTGATTACTTTGTTAGAGCCAGGACATAATTTTTTTGAGTGGTCTACTATTGAAAGGGCTGGACAAAAGCATGTCCTCACTTTGAAGGTATAAAACATAGTCCCCACAACGATAGGACCACAAGACCTTCACACACACACAAACAAATATTCATTAAAAACTGGTAAATTTTCCAGACAAACACACCTTATTCAGACTGAACTTGGACGCTGGTTTAAGGTTAAAAAATGTCGTTGACTTTGTGGAGAAAACGATCATTTGTTGTCTTTAATTTTGACTGACCGGCACCACCAGTTTGATTTATTTCTATCCACTTTGTAATAACTGTAATCAGTCACTTTTTGTTGTTGTTGCATTCTTGGTTTTATTAATGTTGTAATATTCTATAGAGAGAAGTCCCGCCCACTCCGGTTGACCACCATGGAATCATATTTCACAATAAAATATGTACAGTAAAGAGATAAATAATGATTCTGCCATGAATTACACGTATGATGTTTGTCAACATAAATGATAATTTTCAACATCAATAAAGTCACATTTTGTCATAAAAGTGTTGAAGTGTTAGACTGTGTAAACAATTATAAAGACTTGACATCCAACAGTAACGTTTCTCTCTCTGAATCTCAGTAATTCACGGCACAATTCAAACAAGATCAAAAAATATTCGTTTTTTTCTGTACATATTTTTTTCTGAAATAAGGTCCCGTGTACAACACCAGAAAGGGGCGGGACTTCACCTCTCTATTTCACTGTGAAGCTCATTAAGTCTTCTTTAAATGCAACGTGTTGTATCAATAAATGTCCCTTTTTATTCATCGTTCATTCCAATCAACACATTTTGCATCAAGACAGAGATCACAGTGACAGATCTGATGGAGCGTCGCTGTTGATGCAACACAATAGAGAAGGAACAGAGGTCTTTATGGTTTAGTCTTGTTTCTTTTAGATGTGACATCTTCAGGAAGATGTGTGTGTGAAGAGGTTCACGATACAAATAAATCATAAATATTAAATAAATAAAATCAGTCACTCTTCCCTCTGTGAGGTCGTCATGTCTGAGTAACGTGTTTATAAGAGAAGCACCTAAAGTGCGTTTTATTTCCACGGCAGGAATCTTTCTGTCAGACCAGTCCTCTCACTCAGAGCTTCTCTGGGTTTTTCCGGTTGAGTCTGGAGGAGGATTCCAGGAAGAGAGAGAAAGCAGAGACGGGCAGTGATCCGTGGTCATCAGGCCGCTGACGTGGACATCAGGAGGTCACCAGTTACTTAGAGGCAGGAAGTCGTGTGTTTAGTTGAGCCGAGAAAAGCAACAAGTTTGTGGACGGCTCAAAGCAAAACTTCAGCTCTCTATTTAAACCAAACACAGATGGGGTTAGTCAGGAGGTACCCCCCCTCCCCCCTCTCTCAGACCGGCTCGACCAATCACAGCGAGGTGGAAAATTACGAAACAGCAGAGCAAACTTTCTGCTGTGGAGCCAGAGAGGCCAGAACCCTCTGCTGCTCACATTTAACCTGTTAATGAACACAACAGTGATAGAAAGTTAGCGCTTAAAAAATATCATTTGGTTTTTCAACATATTTTTTTCAGTTTCAACCAAGCTGCAAGT